TCTACTTATATATCTACTACTAGAGTAGGATATAGTCTATAGTCTTTAGGTCGCATTGTCGCAAGACACAAGTTCACATACTTTTGTGGTTTAGTCATCTATAGGTCTTCTTAAAAACAGTTTAGATTCTTTATTTGAACAAAAGCTGATGCCTGATGGATACTATTTTACTGTAATACATAAATATATGGAAAGTTAGAAACTTGTTGTGAAAAGAACCAGCTAGTCAGCTGCATACCGCCTATAGCTCAGCCTACAGACAAGTGCTATGTACAACGATCATCTTTTTTAAACTAAATACAATAATTAGTCATAAAAACAAAAAAGATAACGTCTGTACGTTAGATTGTTTTTAATTGTTAGTAGAATAAACAAATATAATATGTAGAAAGCATGCGAGGTGATGAGAGCATTTGCACAACGTTTAAAAAAGAACAGGTCTGAATATTTATTCTACTACAAAATGGTTGGAAACCAATAGTAAAACTGAAATACACAGCAAAGAATAAACTCTTCACTTCTTATGTGCGATCGCACAACACTCTGAACCTGTGACAAGGACAGAAAACTAATTTAAACACCTCTTTGCACTATTTTACTACTCTAGGAGAGAGTAGAGTGAGAGAGAGAGAGAGAGAGAGAGCAATCGAGATGAAGCCATGCGATACTCAGACTCAGACGCTCAGACAGGGACTAAAAAAGAAAGTGATATGCACCAAATGCGAGTCTGAAATAAAATTGTGCAATCAGATATGGATTGGCTCGTCCTATATAAGCCAGTGCAATTTTGTATGTAAATTTCAAAACTATTGTATTACAACCAACTTGATTCCTAACACGATGAGAGTCCACAAAATGGTAACTATGGTAGCTCTTGCTGCCATTGCGATGGCGCAAAACCCTGCGGGGTTGACCGATGTTGCAATTGACGCACCAGACAGTGTAATTGACACAGAAAAAAGTGTAATTGACACACTAGATAGTATAATTGACACACCAGTCCTTGTAATTGACACACCAGAAGCTTCAGTTTCACCTGAAGTGATTGCCGTTACACCAACGGCATTAAATATAGAGGTACCTGTTGCTACACCATCGGCTTCGATTTCGGAGATACCTGTTGTGACACCGTTAGCCGTGACACCGTCACCTTTCGCTACAGCATCTTCTTCCGAAGTTTCTGTCGCGACAATGCTGCCTGTTGCTACAGCAAGTGCATCTCTTTCAGATGTACCTGTCACTGTTACACCCACAGCATCGTCTTCGGAAGTACCTGAGGCCACACCCACAGCATCGTCTTCGGAAGTACCTGAGGCTACACCCACAGCATCAACTTCGGAAGTACCTGAGGCTACACCCACAGCATCAACTTCGGAAGTACCTGAGGCTACACCCACAGCATCATTTTCGGAAGTACCTGAGGCTACACCCACAGCATCGTCTTCGGAAGTACCCGAGCTTACACCAACGGCATCGTCGTCAGATGTACCTGTCGCTACAATGACAGCATCTCCTTCTCCTTCTGCCAGCGAGTCAATGAGGCCAGTAGTCACTTTTACGCCCTCTGCAACAGCCACACAAACAGCATCTTCTTCTCCGTCAGCGAGCGAGACAGCATCTCCTTCTCCGTCAGCGAGCGAGACATCAAGGCCAGTCGTATCAATCACACCATCCGCCTCTCCTAGCACATCCATGAAAGCTGTTGTCACGCCCACCTCAACTGTCCCCGACAGTGACTACATCACTTGTGCGATTAAGAATATCGAAAGTCCCTTAGGCTGTGATGAGCTTCAGGACGACGAGTCGTGCTGCCGATACAGTTGGAGCTGCGGAGGTCTACACAAGTGTACTTCTTCCTACTGTTGCACGGAGACCACCCCCACACCAACTCCCCATCCTTCACCTTCAACCACGCCAAGTTACGAGCCGGTCGATAACTATATCAACTGTGCTGTGAAGAAGTCTGAAGGTGGCTTCAAATGCAGCAGTAGTGAAGAGGTTGACAAAACAAAGGAGTGCTGTCGTTGGTCTGACAAGTGTGCCGATTTGAGTCACTGTACCGAGAGTTACTGTTGCACTGACAGTGGTTCTTATCCCGATCCATCGCCTTCTGCCAAACCACAAGACTACACCGTCAAATGCCAGGAGAAACACGGAGTCTCTTGTTCCGTGGGCTACGAGCTAGACGACGACAAGAAGTGCTGCGAGTACCCCGGCGCATGCGGAGATCTTAAAAGTTGTAAATCAGACTACTGCTGTACCGAATCCGGCTCATTACCACCAGTCGACACCGAGGGAGCCTGTGATTGTGATGGGGCAGTACTCGACAAGGTATGCTACTCGTCGATTGAGAAAGCCATTACAGCTGCATCAGATGGTGACACTATCTTTGTTGGTGGTGATATCGAGGTAGACGCGCCTATTCAATTTACAAAGAGTCTGTCCTTCAGCGGTGTGCTTTGTGATGACGAGCGGGCTCAGATTATCGCCACTTTCGATGAGGTTGATGGAGCTATCTTCGAGGCTGTGAATGAGGATGAACAGGAAGTGAACTTCCTATACTTGGCTATCACCAGCAAGGGTGACAACTCAGCTGCAGCATTCCACTCTCTTGGTAGTGTCACTGACGCACCTGACCAGAAAGTGACCATGAACTTGACTAACGTGTGGATCCATGATATGTACAGTCAAAGACCTGGTGTAGGAATTTTCATCGGATCCACCAAGGGACTTACGGTTGACGACAACTGTTATTTCTACAGCTTGAACATGAGCACATCTGAGATGGAAATGTATGCAGGTGGAGCTGCTATTGCCGTTGTCTATCTACCCGAGGGCAGTGAGATCCGCATCGCTGGCTCGTTTAAGAACAACAGTGCATTCTATCCCGATGCATCATTGCACAGCGGAGGTGGTGCCATTTACCTGGACTACATGGAGGGAGATGTAAAGTTCACAGCTGCCTTCGAGAACAACTCCGCCAACCAAGGTGGCGCCGTTAATGTACAGGGAGTGCTTGGTACTCTCATTGTGGATGGTTACTACTCTGAGAATCACGCCATCGATGATGGATACGGTTCACGAGCTGGTGCATTTCGTGTGCTTGAGATCGAGGCCTCAGGCACTGCTATCTTCAACGGCTCCTTCATTGGCAATACTGCTCAGGGACGTGGAGGCGCCATCGCCACTAACATACATACTTCGGGTGGCAAGATGTACTTGGATGGTATCTTCCAGAACAACGTAGCTTCCACTGTCGGTGGAGTGTGGAGCATGTGGTCTAACACGCAGTTGGAGGGTATGGTCCAGCTCGATGCCGACAGTATCTTCGAAGGTAACCTAGCTGCGTATGATGACTCCAAATCTGGTATCTACAATATCGCTCAAGATGGTGACACAGATAAGCTTGCCGAAGACGAGTGGTTCGGCCGCGCTATCACCATTAATTAGATGCTCGAAAACAATTTAGTACGCTACCCGTATGTCTGATACAGTATGGAGTCTAGTAAGAGCTATCTAGAGTGATGTTATCAGGAAACAATAAATCGGAGTACAAGCTCTATTTCAATTGTAGAGGTATTCTTCCATAGCGAGTGTTGTGTTCTTCATGCATGCGATATATCATGCATTTAACATAGTCATATGTGTATCTATTTATTAAATGTAAAAAGGTAATTCCTTTGTAAATACTATCGCTAACGCCGTAACGTATGTGTCTACGAACAATTAAATATAAATACATATATATATATACATATAGCATGGATATAGATATATAAATACATATACTTATATATATATATTATAATATATACATAAACATATGTATATGAACTGGAGATAAATGTCGCACTAGATGTACATTCTGGTAAAACAAAAGGCCAGTATATATATATATATATATAGATGCATATAATAAATGCATACATACATATACGTACGCACACGCACAAAATCACTCCTTCTCACACAAACATAGACACAAGGCATGCATACACATACAATTGTATATATGTATATATATATATATATACTTATACATACACACAAATATATACACACACACACACATATATATATAAGTATATATAAACCTATATATATATGGACTTCCAGATATACATCTATATATATATGGACTTCCATATATACATCTATATATATATGGACTTCCATATATACATCTATATATATATACATATATAGGTAGATATACATTGTGTGAAAAAATGTATACTAATACATGTGTATACACATAAAGGTATATGTATGTAAATGTATATATACGAATATATATATATATATACATATATACTTGCATATGTATAAATATAATAATATTGTGGTACGAACACACAAAAACATAAAACTATAAAAATATAAATGTATATATACATATACAAATGTAGTAATACAATATATAATTATAAAAGTATAAAACCATGTTTATGTTTATATAATTATAGATGTAGATGGATATATATTCATAAATACATAGAAAAGTATAAAAACATATACATATATGTGTATGTATATAAACGCACACACACACACACATATATATATATATATGTGCGTATACGTGTTTACCTATATATATATATATATATGGATATATAAAAGTACATATGTATATATACAGATATATGTATATATTCATAAATATATATAAACATTCTTATATTCATAATTTAATAAACATGGAATATCGACAGATGGAACTATACACATACATGAATATATATAAATACATATGTATATATATGCATATATATATAAGCATTTAATATATCCATTTGTATATTCAAAACATATGTAGGTGGTTATATTCATCTACACGTATTCAACATATATATACATAAATAGATATATTTTTAAATATCTATA